TGGGGTAATGATGATGATACTAGTGAAATTGGTATAGATAATGTATTAAGTAGAAATAATCATGATTGATCTTATAAAATCTAGAATGGAGGTTGGTAATGGGAGGGTGATGTAACCATATTATTCGATTGTTTCACCCATATTTACCTAATGTTTTGTCCATGTTTTATATGTAAAATGCCTTGATATTCTTTGTTTTATGTTTTGAAGGCACTTTTGGATGAAAAATGCAAAAAGGAGTAAATTGGAGATAATTAGCAGATTTGATGTTCAGTCGATGTTTTGTGCAGAGCGTGATTTCTAGAGATCAAAATGAAGTGATTCCAGTGGCTCTAAAAAGCTAACATCTATACCTTTCTGGAAATGTAATGCAAGAAAAATACAAAGAGGAAGATCATGGAAATCACATCCTTCAAAGTCAAATCTCATATTCTGCCACTATTGACCTTTGTCCATTCAAAATTCCATATCTGGCGCTATAGAAGTCCAATTGATGCAAACTCAATTGTGTTGGATTCCTGACTCAAAGGTCTAGAAACTCTCCAATGTTCAGCCAAAAACGATGTCAGATAAGGGCGATATGATTTTTCAAAGATGACAACTGAATTCTGCCAGCAATCAGGTTTCGTGAAGAAATGAGTCCAAATTATGTTTCAAAGCTTCTAAACTATCATCCAAGTTATAATTTCAGCAATTTAGCCCCTCTAGTAAATCAATCTAGAAGGTCAAGAAAAGTAGCCACCAACCTCAATCCACCAACCTCAAATCACCAACCACAAACCAGCTGCAAGTTGGAATGCTGCCATTGTCAAAGAAGGAGGCTACAATGGTGGGTTATTTGTGGTGACTACTAATGTCAAAGTTTGGCATGTTTGGCAGCCACCATTATTGATAAAGAAGCAAGAGGAGCTGCCATTGAAGCCTATATATAGACACCAAGAGAGCCAAGAAAGAAGAGGAGGGAGTGCAATAGAATCAAAGAAAGGTGGTAACAACTAGAAGTGAAGAAACACAAACTCTCCTCTCTACATACTAGAAATAATGCTTTCTTTTATCTTTAGGAGTAGTTGTTCAATAGATATGCAAGGCTAAGCTCTTTTCTTGGTTGCAAGGACGCAGAAACTTTCAGATTTCAAGAACTGTGAGATTTATTCTTCATTTATTTTCAGTTTGTATTATGAATGAGTATGATTGTTTTCCTATGCATGTTTTCTATGATTGTTGTTGATAATTGCTAGAGCGGACTCTAAGTTATTATTGTGAACAATCTATTGCTAAGTTTGATATCAGAACCGGAGTTAGGGTATATAAACTTGTGAAGCAACTAAGCTTGATAATTGTGGCGGAACTACGTTATTAAACTTAGGGAAAACATTCGATCAAAGCAACACAAGCAGACAACTTGGTTGTTAAGATTAATGAATTTATCTAGATCTTAAGGCTGCCATTAGATTAAATCATTAGTGTGGACACTGTGATTATTTGTTGGTTAGGGCTAATTATACGGCGGGTCCGTTAATTAGCCAAAGTTAAGAAAAGATAAAAATTCAGAATATAAACTGGAGTTTCATTTTAAGGATCAGTTCTGATTTCTGTAGGTGGATGTGTGCTTGTGATCAAGGTTTGTTTTCTTGATAAATTTCAGTTTTAATTGATCATGTTCACTAGTTTAATTTCTTCCATATTTTAGATTATCACAAATCAAAACCCCCCCAATTGCATAACGTATAGCATAAAAATCTGAACTAAATCTTCCTCGTGGGATCGATCCCTTGCTTGCTCTATACTATCTTGTGTGATTTAAGTGTAAGGGTAATTAATTTGTGCGACCGCGACATCGCAAAAATCTTGTTGATTGGATCGGGATGGGGTTAGGAGATGCAGGTTATTAAAAGTGTAAACAGGTTAAATGTTGATAACTTGGGACCTTCCGGTATAGGGGAGACTCTGTCAAAATTTCAGTAGACTTTAATACGAACACCATAAATATATTTATAGAAAAAAATTAATTATTTTGTTTTTCGATTAACATGAAATTGTTGTCTTTATCCCGCAAAGGAGATGTTACATTAAAGGTAAAAAGGGATTAAGTGACTGTTTTGTGATAACCAAAAGTAGTACAATAAAAGGATGTTTTGGGACAGTCAATTGTAATTTAGTAAACGATTGTTATGGACATTCAATTGTAATATAAGGAAGGTCTTAATCAGAGATGGTCTTGTTTGATTTCCTGTCGGGTTAAGCTAAGGTAGTATTGGAAGCCTGTTTGGACATCTAAATTATAAATGAGTAAAAGTTGTTGATAATAAAGTGTACTAAGTATCTAAAGATTTTTAACAATATGTGTAAAATGTGTATTGGATTCCTTTGATAAAGCATGCATGTAAAGTGGTATAATACATGTTCTAAATAACATGTATGTAATGTAATGATGTAATAAATAGGAGTAAGATTGTCAATGTGTTATGTGATTTGTAGCTACATTAATAGTGAAACAATATAATAATAATAATGGTGGCTGCTACATATTAGCACATGTTTGCCAATTGTTTAGCCCAACATAAGTAGACGAGGAAAATTTCTTATAATTATAATTGTACAAGAAAAAAAATGTAATAATACCTTAATTCTTTATTATAATGAATTACAAATGCCAAATTTTATGTATACCTTATGTATGATAGACCTAGTGGTATATAAATATATAAATGTTCAAGCACTCGTGTAAGTATAAAATAAGATTGAAATAAAATGGACTAATGCATTAGTGTAAGCTATCTTAAGATGAGTTGATCGTTATGCGATTAAGGTTTGGAGCTTGATGTTTGAAGCATAGAGTTTTTATATAAATCTATAATAAGGTACACAAAGTAGTTCCTACTCTTTTAAAAGAGTGAATCTTTGAGGTAGATTTCTATAAAATATATATGACCTAAAATGAGAGGCTTAAAGGAAGAAATAAATGTATAAAATCGGATTAGAAAGTTGAGCTAGCTTGTCTATATGTCATTTGAAATCATGCATGAGTTAAGGTTTTGATTATTAACTGATATTGCTTTTAAATGATGTAAATCGACTTCTTGGTAGGCTAAGAGGTCAAAGTTGATATAATTATTGTGTATTCCAGGATGTTTAATTCATGTGACCAGCTAATGAATGAAAAAGCCAAGTGTAAGGAAAACTTGTAAATAAAATCAAGTATTTGTAATGATCATATTAAGCAAATCAATTAGTAAATATATTAAAGGAAAGTAATTGTTGCACTGGTAAATAATTGTATTGTCACTTAAAAAGATATAATGATCTCATAAGGAAATTCTATATTAAGAAATTATTGTAAATTCTATCAGGACATTAAACATATTGAATCCATTATATTAAAAAAAAATTAACACGAAAATCCTGAATAGAAAGCTAAAATTAAAACAATTATTAGGCGTTACGCTTTTGGAATTGTGTTTGATTTTTTTTTTCATTGAACTCATTAAATCAACTAGGTCATTTCAATAATTTTCCCACTACTTAATTTCAAATTTGAGCTAATTAAAAAGTTAAGTTGGCTACTCTAGAGTTTTCAAGTTTAACTTGTTAGATAAGGTTTAATGATAATGTTAAAAATTTTCTCATTAATATTTTGTTGTGTTGAAATTTTTTTAATCTAACATCAATCATATCGTGAAAGTAACTTAGTCTACTCTAAAAATAATTTGGTTTTCATATGTAAAAGTTAACTGAAAGCAAATGTCATACTATTATGTCCTGACGATGCACTGGACTTAATACTTATGGAGAAAGGTTAACTCTAAATGGTGTCATGGTAGAAGATGACGCCACTTAAGTGAGTGTAGGAGTAAGATCTAGTTGTGCTATTAATGAGTCTGAATCATCTAATAAACGATGTAGATTTAAATAAATAGATGAGTTATATTTATATAGTTTAGGATTTCAATTACTTAATATTGTATTATTAAAGTATTTGAGATTTATTTTGCATGCACATGTATGCTCTCTTATTTCATTCTTGAGGCTACTTGTGATTATGAAATGTGATAATTTTTTGAGTTTAGTAAGAATTTGTTGAGTATTAATCTGGCAGATCAGTTTACATTGAAAAGCAAAGATAAACTTCTATGTGAATAGTGGATTTCAGATATTTTAATTGTAATTGAATTTTTAGTTACAAGTTGGACAAAGATATATATTTTGACACATAAAATATATTTTTATAAAATTCATATATTTTTTATGTAAACAAGTCTACTAATTTAAACAACTAGATAAACCATTCGACTAGTTGAGTAAGAGAATTTATAGTGAAACTTGTTAACTCTCTAAAATTATTAACTAAATTAAATGCCAGATTAATAAAGTAAATAATAAATCTCATAAAAAACATATATTCTTTTTATCTAAATATTAAATAAATTTATTGTTGCTAAGGTAGTATTCTCACTACCAGTTCTCTGGCTCAACCAGTTAAATAATTTATCCAGTTGTTTAAACTAGCAGACCTATTTACACAAAAAAAAAATTATAGATTTTATAAAATTTTTCTTTCAAATATATTTTATGTGTGAAAATATATATCTTTATTAAAATTATAACTAAAAATTTAATTACAATTAAAATATCTAAAATCTATTATTTACATAGAAATTTATTTTTGTTTTTCAATGTAAACTCATCTACTAGTTTAAATAACAATTGTGAAATAATGGATCAATTTATTATAAAATTTGATTATATATCATGGTTGTGAATCACATCAATTATAATTTTATTATGGTTCACAATTATAATATTTAATTAAATATAATATTTTTAAACTACAATATTAATTAAATATTACTTTATTGAATTATGAAATCCTTAAAATTTTTCCCTGAAAAATCTATGATCCCTTATTACTAAAAATATAAATAATGTGGACCCCATATCTCACACACGCAAGAAAAAACCTTAACTACTAACAACTTTCTATACTACTACAACTACTTAAGTCACTTTCACTGATAATACACATATAGATCCCCTCTTTCACTAGAATCAAGATCTTGCCTTTCTTAAGCAATGTAATTATCATTTCATTTCATTTCAAAATGAGATCTTCATCGAAACTAACCTTCTTTTTGTTGATAACAATCTGGGTTTTCTCTAAAACCTGTAAAGGCCGCGTCTTTACCTTCAAGATGCACCACAGATTCTCTGATTCATTCAAGAATTGGTCAGGTTTGACCAGAAACTGGCCCGAGAAAGGAAGCTTTGAGTACTACGCAGCATTGGCTCATCGTGATCAGATGTTAAGGGGGCGTAGACTCTCTGATGCTGATGCATCTTTAGCCTTTTCTGATGGGAATTCAACCTTTAGAATCAGCTCCTTGGGATTGTATGTTCTTTCAACTTTTTGCGTTTTATTGTCAGTTACTGTCAATTTATTTTTGTTTGTTTTTGTGATTCTTCAATTGGGTTTTAAGAAACGGGTTCTTGTTTCAGTGATTCTTTAAGTGGGTTTTTGAAAAATTTATTGTTTTAGTGATTCTTGAATTGGGTTTAATTTTCCAATCCTTTTGTGGGTGAATGTGTAGCTTGCATTACACAACAGTGGAATTGGGGACACCTGGAGTGAAGTTTATGGTGGCACTTGACACAGGAAGTGATTTGTTCTGGGTGCCTTGTGATTGCAGCAGATGTGCACCTACTCATGGAGCTAGTTATGCTTCTGTATGTATCTCTTCTCAGTTCTTACTTTTATTTGGTAAATGTGATTTTTTATGGAATGTGGCTTTGTTGATTCATCTTGTTTGGCTTTATCTTGTCCCTCGTTGTAGAGTTTTGTAAGTCTTTGTTATCTCTTATTAATTGGATACTAAACTGGAGACTAGAGGTTATTTGCATTTAATCTGTTTGGCAATGCTTAGGTTATTAGACAGCTAAAGGAGCACTTGGTGGTATGATGAACAGTGGCCTATGAATCTAGATGAATGCATTTTTACTGCTTCTATATCAAATGCTATTAGCTGCTCATGGTTGATTTTCTACCATGTGTGACTTATTCTAGCTGGATTTTGAGCTTAGTATATACAACCCAAGAGAGTCATCGACAAGCAAAAAGGTCACCTGCAACAATGATATGTGTGCACAGCGTAATCGCTGCCTTGGAACATTCAGCAGCTGCCCTTACATAGTCTCTTATGTCTCTGCTCAAACGTCTACTTCTGGGATTTTGGTAAAGGATGTTCTGCACTTGACAACAGAAGATGGTGGACGAGAATTTGTTGAAGCGTATGTCACATTTGGGTGAGTTAGTTTGTCTTCTAATAACAATTTTAACACCTTGCCTCGGGATAGCAATGTTCTCTCATCATGCTTGGGGTATAGGTTGAGATGAATATGCAATATGAAATTTGCAGTTGTGGCCAGGTTCAAAGTGGTTCATTTCTAGACATTGCTGCTCCCAATGGTTTATTTGGGCTGGGGATGGAGAAGATTTCTGTTCCTAGTGTCTTATCTAGGGAGGGATTAATAGCAGATTCTTTCTCCATGTGCTTTGGACATGATGGAATTGGAAGAATCAGTTTCGGGGACAAGGGTAGTCCTGACCAGGAAGAGACCCCATTTAACATTGACCCAGCACAGTAAGTGGTAATTTATCCTTTACTTGATGCTGATAGTCTAACATAATTGTCTTGATGGAAGGATAGTTTTTCCCTGACCTGTGTCTGGAACTGTTATGCAGCCCAACCTATAATGTTACTGTGACTCAAGCTCGAGTAGGAACCATGTTAATCGATGTAGAGTTCACAGCTCTTTTTGATTCTGGGACTTCTTTTACATACATGGTCGACCCAGCCTATTCAAGGGTCTCGGAGAAAGTAAGTGCTTCAGAGGATGAAGATTGATTTTGCTAGTCTATCTGAATTACCAAATCCACTACTGAAATTTAGTTCTTATGCTCCTTCACAGTTTCATTCACTGGCACGAGATAAGTGGCGTCCACCTGATCCCAGGATTCCTTTTGAATATTGTTATGATATGAGGTTAGGCATTATAATATAGTGAAATAAAGTAGACATGAAGCCTTATCCATCATCACCTGCCTAGTCTCTATCCTCTGTAACTGTATCCTTTTTCTTGATGATGGGCAGTCCTGATGCAAATGCAAGTTTGGTACCCAGTATGAGTTTAACAATGAAAGGAGGAAGGCATTTTACTGTCTATGATCCAATAATTGTGATCTCCACTCAGGTAATGTTTTACTCTATATCCTTTTACCATGATCTGTGTTGTTTACTGTGGTACTAATAGCAAATAATTTTCCTTTCAAATAATTGCAGAACGAAATTGTATATTGCTTGGCCATTGTCAAGAGCACAGAACTCAATATAATCGGGCGTAAGCATTGCCTTTTTATGTGTTTATAAATAAGAAAATGAACGTGTGTTTCAGTACTAAATCAAATGAATGCTACACTGATTTATAACAGGCACAAGTTTGAATTCTTTTGTGAAGCAGTCCATGGTTTAGGAAAATTATGATTTTCAATCAAGGATAAATTCTAATTTATTTCATTTCTCCTTTTCCTAATCAATACACTAGGAAATTCAACTTCTATTTTTGAAAATAAAAGAATGATATGCTCTTAAATGAATTATATGAATTCTTGATCCTTGTGCAATTCTGGAGAGCCTTATGATGGATTCCCAGACTAAGCTCTTGTAGGGGCATTGGAAGAAAAGATAGTCATGAGATGCAACTTATCCAAGGTCTACATCTTAGACTGAGAGATGACACGACTAAAAGATTGATGTCTTCTCTCAAGTGCAGGAGTGTCGAAGTAATAAATAACCTGACAAGACCGGGGTCGAACTATAGAGAGGTTAATTATACAAATTATAAACAACAACAACAATAATAATAGTAGTAGTAGTAGTAATAGTAGTAGTAGTAGTAATAATAATAATATTAATAAAGAAAAAGAAGGAGAAGAAGAAGAAAAAGATGAGAACTTTGAGATGGAATATTAATGTAAGGATTAAACAATGATAATAACAAATATCAAGGTTAGAGGTTCCACTAATGGTATGTCAAACAAGTATAGTATAAACTCTTATTATTCATTTGGAAACTACACACAAAGGAGGTTCCAACTAGATTATAGATTGTTAACATGATTACATTAGTCATCTTATTCGATTAATGCTAATACTTGTAAATCTCGTTAAGCATTCATGATTATAACTTATGTTAACAACAAATCAAGTTCCTTTCATAGCTCAGGTGTCGGTTATACCATACAGTATGGGCTATGAAAGTGTCAAGCATTTGTTGTACAAGTGTTATACAACATAAATCAAGATTAGTCATTTAACAAGCAAAGTATTAAAAAGTGAACAAGATAACAAATAGAAAACATGTTAATATCAAACATTAAAGTCCATATTAAGTTTATATTATACTTATTCTTACACCATTAATGTAACCTTTTCACCTTGACATAATAAACTTAGCTAAACATAATGAAAGAAAGAAAAATAAATATACAAAATAAGAACATAAATAAGATAAAAGTTAACTAAGTAAATGAAAGCAAATGAAAGGCATAAACTTGATATTAATGAAAGCAAAGTATAAAAATTACAAAAAAATACAAAGAGAGAAAGCAAAAGCATGATCTTGATCTGGAAACCAAGATGCCTAAATGCATGGCAAATACCTCCTTTTATAGGCCAAAATTGGGAACTATTGATTTGATGACTAATTGATGAGTGGGTGATCAACTCTTAACTTGGTAACAATCCTTATCTTCTCTTGTTTGCTCAAAACGTCAGTGATAACATCAAAATTGAAGCCACTTGAAAACATGAAAGTTGTAGAAAATTATCTCAGCTTTCTTGTGTAAAACATTCAGGTCATTTGAACTTCTAGAACTCCAGATATGGGCCAAACACTGAACAGTACTCGGGCTAGAAGACAGATTAAGACTTCTTTGTTGTTGCTATAATTTGGACTTGAAAATGGCCTTTTTAGATCTTGGGCTCCATATGAAAGTTATAGGCCTATATCTTACCTATCCATCCGTATAAAGTAGACTTAAATCTGAGATCTACAACTCCAGATATGACTCAATTACCGAATAGTGTTCTAGTTTGGATTGCACCAGCATCTCTTTTCTAAGTTTGATCATCTCTTTGCTCTTTCAATTTCAGTTCTTAAATTCATCAATCAATATTTTCATTTATGTGATAGGCCTACATTTAAAATGAACATTTACCATAAATTAAATGTATCTTATATTATTAGATATATTATTATAAAACATGCTTTAGTTAAGGAGTTATTGATACTTTAAGTGCAAAATGATGACATAAAACTTTGATAAAAAATGCACTTTTAAGTACTAATCAAGAGGCTAATCAAAGTATAAAGGATTTATGTGGAATGTGGCTTGAAAACCATAAGAGGTGATGAAAGGAGTATTGGGGGAGGGGGGGTCTAGATTCCTTGATCATATCCTAAGTTGAGTCAATAGTAAACTTCCTTGCATAATTCCATTTCCAAACCAGGTGATCATTCTAGTTTGTTCTTAGTAGAGAAGTTATGGACTTCTAAATAGCCTAGATGTTTTGATGGCTTATTAGAAACTTTCATTTATCCCCTTTAATGATGTGATTAATATTTAAAAGTGCATTTTTATCAAGGTTTTATATCATTATTTTGCACTTGAAGCATCAATAACTTCTTAACTAAAACATGTTTTATAATAACAAGTTCGATGCCATAAGATACCTTTAATTTATGGTAAATGTTCATCCTAAATGCATGTCTATCACATAAAAAAAAGGATTGATTGATGAGTTGAAGTAATGAGATTGACAGGACAAAGAGAGGGTTAAAATTAGAAAAGAGATGTTGTAGTCCAAACTAGAACATTGTTCAGTAATTGGATCATATGTAGAGTTGTAGATTTTGGATTTAGGTCTGCTTTATATGGATAGAAATCTGAGACATATGCCCAAAACTTTCATGGGAAGATAAGACTCAATTCTGCTATTTGGAAGTTCAAATTTTAGCAACAACAATGTAGAAGTTTGAATCCATCCTGCAACCTAGATATTGTTTAGTGTTCAACCCATATCTCAAGTTCTAGAAGTCCAAATGATCTCAATTGTTTTTCCTGGAAAGCTGAGACAATTTCCTACAACTTTTATTAGTAAGGTTGGTTCAAATTTTGACGTTATTAATGATGTTTTTGGCAGACAAAAAGATAAGGATTATCATCAACTCAAGAGTTAGCCACTTACTCATCAATTAGTTATCAAATCAATAGTTCCTAATTTTGGCCTATAAAAGAATGCATTTGCCATGCATTTAGACATCTTGGTTTCCAGATCAAGATCATATTCTTGCTATTTTTCTTTGTATTTTTGTAATGCTTAAGTTTTGTTTTTCATTAATATCTTGTTTATGCCTTTCATTTTCTTTCCTTTACTTAGTTAAATTTTATTTTATTTATGTTCTTATCTTATTTATTTATATTTCTCTCTTTCATTATGTTTAGTTAAGTTTATTATGTCAAGGTGAAAAGGATATACTAACGGTGTAAGAATAAGTATATTGTAAACTCAATATGAACTTTAATGTTTGATACTAACACGTTTTGCATTTGTTATCTTGTTCACTTTTAATACTTTGCTTATTAAATATTTAGTCTAGATTTGTATTGTATAACACTTGGTACAACAAATACTTGACACTTTCATAGCCCAACTATATGGTATAACTGACACTTGTGCTGTGAAAGGAACTTGATTTGTTGTTAATATAAGTTATAATCGTGAATCCTTAACAATATTTACAAGTATTTGCATTATTCGAATAAGAAAACTAATGTAATTAAGTTAACAACTTATAATCTGATTGGAACCTCCTTTGTGTATGGTTTCCAATTGATTAATAAAAAGAGTTTATACTATATTTGTTTGAAATACCATTAGTGGATCCTTTAACCTTGACATTTGTTTTGATCATTATTTGGTTCTCATGATTGTGCATCAAAAGTATCATTAAGTCTCTTATTTTACATATGTATTTATTGTTTTTATTTGGGTTTTTATAATAATTGATGTGTTTTTTAGTAATGAAGTTTCTTTTAATGTTTTGCTAGGTTTTTGGAGCTTAAATGGATTATGTCAGAAAATTTAATGTTGGAATTCAGAATAAAGAATTGAAGAGAAATTTAGTTAAAGTTTGAAGCAAATCTTGGTTCAAATAAGTCTTTAAATTTTTCCAAAAAAAAAAATCAATTCTATTCCAATCCTAGAAAACATTATCATATGATATATTTCAAGCCCAAACTTGCCTTATATTGTGTGCAAACTTCAACCATCAAACGCTCAATATTTTAGTGTCAATCTTAGCCCAAATAATAAGTATATTTGTATCCTTATATGATGCTTAAATTCAGCCTCAAATTAGTCTTCAAATCAGCCCAAGCACAATCCATGATCTTACATGTCCACACAAAAAATAACAATTGATTTATTTTGGGTAATCCATTAATCCGGGAAGGCAAGCACATAGATGGAAAGCTGGAGGGGACATTATTACATTATTTTGGGTCAAAAAGAATAAAGAGATAGCTCATAAATGAGGAAGAAAAACATGTACCAAAGTGGTTGCAAAGCTAGCCTGATTTGATTTTTTATAACATCTTTTGGTGTTTTGCCCATAACTTTTAAATCAGGTGTCTAAATGAGTGGGTCTTTAATGATCTAGAAAGGTAACAAAATTTCCTATAAATATGTCTCTAATAGACATCTCCAAAAAATGTTTATAGGAGGGTCTAAATTGCTGTTCAAAGTTAGCATCATATTAGTGTTTGAATTTTTACTGAAATTGTGTTGTGTTTTTCTTTGTAGATTTTAGTTCTTTAGTTTGTAAAACTTATTGTTTCAGTTTGATACAAGTTATTTCATGTTTATTAAAGTATTCTTATATATAATCATGGTTGGCTAATCTCTTTCTTGTATACAAATCAAGGATGATGGTGGTTGAGGTGAGTTCTTTAAGATATGAATGAATCTTAATGTTTATCTTCTCATTTTCTTCATGAATGTTTTAATATTACAAAGAAATTTTAGAAATCATTTAGGTAATGTTATAATCTTGAATTTTTATGCATAAACTTTAGTTTTGGTATAGAGATTGCTTGATTCAATATCTTACTTAATATGAAAGTACTTGTCCATTCTTAAGCAATAATCAATCTTCATCTTTTTAAACTTCATTGTAATATCTTCCGATATAATATCATCATTATTGATATTAGGTTGAGTTATCTTCTATATCTTGAAAGAATCATCAATACATCACCATTAAAATTGATTTGGACCAAGGCTTACCTTTTCTTGTTATTTAAAATCTATTTATACGTTTGCATATTTCAAACAAATCCATCAATTATTTTCAACCAACTTATTATTAATTTAATTTCTTCTGAGTTTTTTTTTGTTACCTAGCTTAATTTCCAGATCTAGCTCTTTGTGGATATGACCTCGATCTTACCTGGTTAATTGCTACATCACACGCTCGTGCACTTGCAAGTTAAAACAAGCCGATCATCAAAAGCGGTTAAGCAATTTTGGCGTCGTTGCTAGGGAG